TGCTGCCAGCGATAACCATGTTAATGCAATATCTTGATGGTTTACGGAAACGGTCCATATCCTCTCACTTCTAGCGTGCCAAGTCGGCAGTCTTGCGTGTTCGTGCTACCCTTATCGCCCCTCCCTCGCATTATTTTTTCCGCTCCTCCTTTCAGCCGTCTCTGTCGCGATTCTTTTTCTTTGTTCTTTTATGTTCTACACTTCGGACGATTCTGTTCCTTGTTCGTTGATTTTCTTTCCTTTTTTTTTTTTTTTACAAAAATTCAACGTTATTTGGCGGACAGACAACCGTATTTCGCGTTATAGCGTCCCATTATGGGAGATAACGGATGCAATGTCCGAGTGTCTGGGACTCCGTCCGAACGAATTCTCCCCAATACGCCGATTAATCTGCTCCCGTTCTCACCGTCTTGTACGTTTCACGCGCAATTATACGCAAGAACGACACGTTGACGTCCCTTCTATTCTGTTTCGAGACACGTTGCATCGAGGCCCCAAGTGCATAATGCCCTGTTTCAGCGCGCACTAGATCTCTTTGGCTCGACCAAACTTCGCCAATAGAAACTCACGCTAACTAAGTCTGACCTAAGACTTGCGCGCTAGACGAGGATTTAAAGTAGCAATTCAAGTTGAGTTATCGATAAAGCCCGATGTAGCTGAGAGTTTAGTTTCAGTTCAAAATGAAATATTACCCCGCGAAATGCTCTGTCGCGAGACGGAATTGACGAGAGCACATGGAAATCTCTCGATATAACGAGCTACGTTCTCGCATCGTCGAGACGGGCGCATCAGAGAGGGTCGAAACTGCAATTATATTTTAATTAGAGCGTTGACAAATTTTCTTTCCGAGACATTTCGACATCGTAGCATTTTTCGCGATAAATGCCGCCGACTTGTATTCTTTAGTCGCTCCTGTTACGCCACTTTAATTGGACAAAACCGGTCGCGCTCGGAGATAACTAACGCGAATGTAACGAACGGAAGCTATCGTCGCTGGTTGCGGATTTTGATGTATCCAGTTATTGGGAGCGTGCTTGAATTGCAGAAACCGTTAACGAGATGACGTACTGCTTTTCGATTTTTGTCGTGCGTATTTGAACGAAACATTATACGGGGTAAATTGACGTCAGCGTTTGTTTCAAACTGGCGCCGTTGTCGCGTAGGCTCTACAATAACCGGTGTGCACGGACGCACTCGACGATTACGTTTATCGGATGTAATAGTGCACATGTGTGCCAGAAATTAGTATCGTGAAAGTATATGTTGCCGTAGGATATCTGGCGAGAGAAACAAGGAATGAGAAACCTATTCGTAGGAACAGAGTAACAAACACACTTACACACTTCTGAATGAAGTGTGTAATAATAAACAATTGTGATGCAATTGTAATACAATTGTGATATTAACATTATACGGCGATACTGAATGTCTCAGCGTAACAATGTTACGCAACGCGGCAATTGTAAAATAGATATTGCTTTCTCGTCTGTAATTTGAGCATCGTTAAAAATAATCGATATTATATTTCATGAGTACCACGTCACTCGTCGATATACTTGCAATTTATAGAATATTAATACGCTGTATTTTCCCTGATAAAAGTACGACTCGACGTTTCCAACAATGCAATGTCCGCAAAATCGCAAACTTAACAGCAAATCGCCGGGCGAGATATTCTTAGAGAATAAGACTCCCGGATTCCTTTAAGAGTAATTTGATGCATCGCGCAGCTGAGTGGATTAAGTATCGGAATGGCAATCTGCAGCTTTCTCCTGTTCTTCTTTGTCTTCTTCTCTGTCTTCCCTTTCCTCTCTGTCTTCTCTTCTTCTTCTTCTTCTTCTTCTCCGCGGAACACGATTCAGCAAACTCTAAGAGTAATAGATAGTTTTAGTTCGGTATAAACTTTCACCGGATAAGATGTCCAGGGCTTTACGATAAGACCTGCTTCGAGGTATTCGCGGTTGTCCTTAATACCCTTGGAAAGGTATTAATTCTTCAATTATCGGGCTAGAATGCCCAGAGGTGTAATAAACTCTCCATTCAGTTTATCAATGCAGATTACACGTAAGAGAAGGGTAATATTATAACGATCGTATCACGGGAATGTAATTCTTCGGGAAGTTCCGATGCATTCTATTACCGTTGTTATTGCCACCGCGTGACACGAAAACCGATTAATTAGTTTACTTTGCCGGCAGCAGAAAAATCGCAAGTATCACAGTGTTATATGAATTTACAGAAACTCCAATCGTCGAGGTACGTAATGAATGGTGTCTATTTAATGTTACTTCATGTAGAGTCGCTAATCGATTAATATTCCGATTTGCTTAACGATTATTAATGTGCAGAAATCATATTTTTGGAACGAAGAAACGATGGGTTTCTAATTAATGTCGCAAGCCCTCTCACTGTGGGAACATTTTATTCGTCGCATTTTAAATATCACGCATTTATTATGAGAGACACTTTTATAAATCTATATATGGATGGTCCACTTAAGTCGAACATCTTAGATATTCCCTTTGTTTTTGATGATACGCAAAAATATCTAAGGAAAAAGTTGCACCGTTCGAGATGGCAATTATAATAATTAAAAAGTTTTTCAGTCATTTTTTTACAAAAATTTAAAGATCAAGATAATTTTTTAAAAATAGAACTACACGTTTTTGTTTGCGTGATTTTATAGTCAATATCGAGAGGAGTTGAGCGACCTACAATAACATTACTTTTAAATGATATTGAACATTGGAAAATTATGCATGTAAATCTCTGAATAAATGACTTGGAGAAAACTTTTATCATAAATGTCTCGTCGAACGGTGCAACTTTTCCCTTAAACATATTTTCTAATCATCAAATAAATGAAATATTAAAAATGCTCGATTAAAGTAGACCACCTTGTATAAACTATAATAGTATCTTAAGATACTAACGTGAAATGACTATTAAGAGTCGACGCACACCTGTATTAGTGCGACTACATAAAAAATTATATAAAGAACTTTATTATTATCCGCGTAATCGCACTAATACAGCAGTGCATCGACTCTCAATGGCTACTTCGCACTAATATTTTTTGAAACCAGTCAGAGTCACTTATTACGTTTTTTCACATAATACTATCAATATATAAAATATCCACGTCGACAAGATTCTCCCTCGATTACTTCTTTGCGATTACTTTCGCCAAAGTAATAATACGACGCGGGGGAATGCGGCGACTCGAAGGGGAAAAAGCGGACGCGGTAGGGCGTCGAGGCCTCCGAGGTCAGTAGTTCGAATCAACGCTTTAGTCGGCCATGTGTCGCGCGCGGCGTTAAAGAGTAGGGCCGCACGTGCGGCACGTCAGACACGTGCGACTCGTACCATATGTAGCCGAGTTTTAATTTCGACGGCAACCCAAGTGGACCGAATGGCTGCCTGGCTCTGACCGCCCACCCACCCACCTACTCAGCCCGTTACGTTTCCGCGGGCGTTTGATTAATGTCGATTTCACGGCGATCGCAATTACGTTTTCATCTTCCTTACTGCTTCCCGCTGGCTGCGGCGCTACCAAACCGTCGTCATATACGGGCGATATACCGTTTCGCGGAGAGGCGAGGAATTACGAGCGACCTAATTTACCGTGGAAACGCTTATAAGCCGGTCCCAGCAATTTGCCAATCCCTTCGGAGCAGCTAATCCGACTACTTTCACGACTTCTCTCTCACTCTCTTTCTCCGTCCACTCGCTCTTTTCCTTCCCGCCTTTCCCTGTCCATAAGATTTTACTCGACTTGCAGCTCGCTAAACTACACGACGTGCGCGCGCGTGTCTCAGTGCCAGTTTCTTTGGAAAAGTCTGTCGAGCTCTTCGGAAGATAATACAGAAACGTGCCGATGTATAGTTTCATTAAAATCGCGTGAAAGTAGCGAAAACTTGTTTCTTCCATCTGGCCGGGTTTTCGAGTTTCGAGCGGGAGACGTCAAAAGAGCGTTGTTTTTTGTCTACCTTAAGTTTGAGAAGTTCTCAGTTATACATCGAATCGCGCAATTCGGCATACTTAAGCCATACCGCATAACGAAAAAGTCTCTTCGTGCGCTTTCGCTCGACGAGTAGGGCCACTCTTAACCCGTCGAGCGCTTCGATCCGACCCGAGATTGGTCCAATTAGAATCTTCACGGAGTTGGCGTGGGCAGTCGTAAAAGCTCGGCCGTGAACGCGTAACTCGAATGCGGAAGCGTTTCCGCAGTAGGAAACGTACGACGCGGCCGAACGATAATTATTTTTATTCCGAGCCGTCGTCGAACCGCGCGAACGTTAAAAGTACTTCGTGTAAACGCGAGCGCGTATTCGCACAAAGTGGATGAGCAATGTTAAAACTCGCTTTGATGGTATGAAAGTTTGAAAGTGTCTTCCGGTGTGGAGGGAGCTCGGCTTTAAAAGCGCACAACTCTGAAATTATCCCGTTCGCCCCGCTCCTCGAATGCGAATATACATGTGAGCGGAATATACACACGGATATGCGATGACTGTGGTGAAGGATAACCAAGCGAAACGGTGGAGACAGATATAAAATGTACTTACCTCGAATTTTCGGATTAATTTCATCTTTCGGCAGGAGGATTCGATTATACAAATCTGAGAGAACATACTAAAATTGCGACGCGACGGATATGTACGTACGCCGGCTTCAATAAAGCTTTAACATTCTTGCCAGGCCGGAAATTCACTTTTAATCGTTCGCATCGCACTTTGATACGCGTATTGCATTACGACACTGTCGATTATTCGACTAATTTATCATTTTGAAATTTTGCGTCATATCGCGTTATATTATAGCATATCGTGTCACATCATATCTGGACAAAATGGAAATAATTAGTTAATCAAATTAATGAAAAATTGATTAGGAAGATTATTGTGTTTTGACCTGGTAAATGTTTAAACCCTTTATTGACGCTCGGTGCGGGCGGCGGGGTGTGAGCCGACGAAACCAAAAGAGAAGACACATCGTACGTATACAGTTCGTGTATCATAGTTTATTATAATTTGTACAGATTACAAATTCGGTACCTATCGTGATGCGTTTTCCGTTTGACATCATAAAAGGAGCGAATATTGAGCAGAACGCCGCTCGTCACTGCGCTAACGTTATTATATCAGTTATCATATAGTTACCCCTGTATAATCTATATTTCACACTCGATGAACACTCCGATCACTAGTAAGTATCGCGGTTTATAGCATCCGACGCGCCGCCGGCGGATTCAAATCAATGTGTTAACGGAAGTCAAACTCCCATCATCGTCTCCTTTCCGGTCCTTCTCTACCGAAACATCTGCCAGCCTTTAACCCCGATCACTTACGAAGCTGACCCCTCGGCATATAACAATATCGCGTTCACCTCTTCGCCTCGAACTTTTCTTCGGTCGCGTCTCGAGAAGGAACACGAGCGGGCGCATGGGCGCACCACGTGCGCCGTCTCGCAGCCCCGTCGAAACGAGACGATGCTCGTGAAACTTTGCTTTTCTTTTTTTTCATCGGGAATTCCTCGCGCGCGTACTGTCGTTCGTCGAACATGACAGCGCGACGTTAGTTCGCGGGGGATTGTGCCGAAATCGCAAATTTCACCGTCAGAGCGAGATATCAAAGATGAAGAAGAACAAGAAGAACAAGAAGAGGGCAGGTGGGAGGGCAGGTTGACGCGTGTCACCCACGTGTGTCACCCCGCGCGCTCGCTCTTCGGGGTTAAGCATCCATCATTCCCGTCTTATCTTCTCGAAACGCGGACGAGACGATCGCTCTCTGGCTCCGCTTCGCCTCGGTTCCCCTCTCTTTCTGTCCTTCTTTTAATCTCGATCAACAATTTACATGAAAAGACAACATGTTTGAAAAGTAACCGCGCGCGAGTACTCGCGCTTACTCTCCGCGTCGATCCGCTAGTGTCTCGCCGATCTCCCCTCGACCTTTTCTCATACCATTTTTCCCCTCGAATAAAAATCATTCGTCAATCGACTATCTATTCTATACATAGTAACATACATAACTGGAAGCCCTAGACTACTAGGTTTTACATGGACGATGTAATCGGATCAGACAGTGGCAGTGGACATCTTCATGGAGGTTGCCCGCGAGCTACCTGCTACCCGCCGGCTCGCTCCTCGCCAGTACATTCGTTATCGGGGGTACCGTCATCATCAGCGATGTCATCATCAGGAACAGGGTGGCCGCCACGGTAGCCATTATTATCGCCGCGCCGCGATTACCATTCCAGGGCCAATTCTGTCCGGCGCATCCGTTCGCTCCTGCTCAACAGAAAGTAGTCGCATGTTAACGAACCGCGATAACCGCCGCCGCCGGCTTGGGTAATGAAATTTTATGGAACGTGTCGACGTAGATCACGGCGAAGTACTCAGCGAGTGCTCCTCCGTTCTCGAGTAATAGATACGATGTTCCGAAGGCTCCCCGCGCGACAAGTTTAATTATACCCGGCCGTGGGTGGCACCTGCATCGGTAAAAGCCGTCGCAGACTGCAAAGTCCGTCGCTACCGTGGAAAATGTAAATTTGAGGAACGAGCCTAAGAAAGTTGCGTCGAACTTAAGCATCTTTTGAGAAGTTTCCCTCGCAATTACGACCCTATGTACTCGAACGGCGCCGGTCGAGCGGTAGTTTGATTCGACGCGGAACGGCCGGGCGGTAATTCGAGGTGTTGATTTTGCGATTGATCGTGGATTAAAACACGGATCGGAGACGACTCGAGTCGTGTACGTCGTGTGAAAATGTATATTTACGTGTATCTTCGATTTTTCTCTTTAAATCGCTTGATCAGAGTCTCTCCGAGAAGAATTATCCGTCGAAAGATAATTAATATCCCCTCCTCTCAATCTACCAATGGATGTTAATGACGAGTATTTGCTCGTGACGCGTTTCACAGAAAACGATTTATCGCGGAGTAAAGAGACCTTCGCCGTGTACTGCGAAAGGCAAGGCGGGACTCTTCGTCTCGCAAAAATCACAATTCAAAATCTCGCAATATCTCGTAATTTCACGGTCGGTTGGATTGGGTGGCTCCGTTCGCCGTCGTCGGCATCCTTAAAACGTTAACGTATTTGAACGGAGAGTTGAAGTAAGACGAAATTGAATGTAAGAGTCGAAATTGGTTCCCGGGATCTGGCTTACGGTTGCAAAATTTAGAACGTGATTCCGTTCCAAACCAGAGGACGTATTTAATTCCGCTAACCAATCCCCGGAATGGCGTTCGTTAATATCGAAAACCGATTTATTCCGGCTTTTCAGTGCCGCCCGGCGATATTAACCGTCGCTATAATTCCGAAACACCGGTGTTTTTTCTACTATGAGATCTGAGCGAGTGTCTCCTCTGAAAAAGGTTGCCGTTATTAACCGCAACGGGGGCGCGCGATGGTTCTTTTAGAAAGTCTCGCGTCGGCGGATGTCGGCGGCATGAAATAAAACTTCGGTAAAACGGGGGCGAGGTAAAAGAAGGAACGCGGCGAAGAATCGCATTAAAGGCGACGTCGCGGCTCCGCGATTAAATTTTCAAGAAAGAAGAAGAGTAGCGGGCAGTACTGTGTAGAAAGGAGCCAAGCAAACCGGGAGGGAAAAAGCAAATTACCGGAAGGGCCGTGCCGGTCGCCGTCGGATAACGTCGGCAGGAAGATGCAAAGAACCCGAGCAAAAAGTGCACGATAGTAATTTCCCTAGAACGAGGAAATAATTTGAACGGTTGCGCTTGTGAAGTCTGTAAAACGAGCGCGGACTGTAGTTATGGCCGTTGTAACTTCGCCCTCTCTTTCTCTCTCTCTCTCTCTCTTTCTTCGCGGATCATAATTCAGCTTTACGCTCTTGCCACTATCTACAATTTTCAAACGAGATTAACAAGTTTCTGATGTTGCGCTCTAATCGGCTTTACGCATCACTTAAGGTCGACTTTAAGCAGACTTTGTTAATCAATTCAAGCGGCGAAAGAATTACTCGCATTATAATGGAAATGAGAGGGATTTTTTTTCTTTTGATAGGATTTAAGTCAACGACCGCGGATTTCAAAGATAATCTCGCAATTTAAAGTTCTCACGTTTGACCTGTTACGAATCCAATTAAACGAGAACGTGTACGCGTGTGTATGCGCGCGCTCGTTCTCGCGAGCAGTACAAAACAATTCAACAACACTGTACTAATCATGAAGGAAACACCGTTATTAGAGGTTAGAATTTAGATTGTTAACAGCAGCGTGTAACTGGGCATGTCAAACCTTGTGTTGTGCGGAGTTTACCGCGTAGAACCGCGTAGAAATGTAGAGCAAACAACACAGTTACCTGATATTTTTCGTTATACTTTTCGTGTTTATCTGTTTCCACATTCGATACACAACAGGCACATACCCGAGTCGAAATTTTCATACTATTTTGACGCTTTTAAGAATAACTTACGCTTGTGGTGACTTATAGACTAATAAAAACCTGCTTTGATGATACTGACATTTATCAACTTATCTTAACAGACTTTATGCTACTTTCATCAATTATTTTGACGCAAAAACAACGAAAACAGAAATTTAAAACATTATAACGATTAAAATAGAAGTAAATTATATTATTAGAATTAAAATTGAACCTATACTTTGCTATCTTAGTTCTTACTGTATTGTAGAATTAAAAGTTTAACACAGAATCAGAATTTCGACTCGGGTATAGAGGCATCTTGAGATCGGCTTGTCACGATTGAAACTACATTTCTTAAATCGGATTTAAGATCGGAGTCAATATTATCGCACGCGCATTTGACGGACTTTTCGAGGGACTTTTCGATCGTAGCGATTTCACCGGCCGATTTAAATTGAACTCGTTTTATTAATGATCGCGCGCGATATATCGCGGCTCTCGGACAACGAATCGAATCAACAATATTTCTTTTCGCGCGAATTCTCTCGTTATTGTGGAGGAGTTACAGTCATTAATTGTTACGGGACATTCGTCTTCGTCCGTCCGGCGGCGGCGGTGGCGTGATAAATCTACCGACATTCAGCTGAGCGTATTTCTACACTCATGGCTCATCGGATTAATAAACCCCGTTGGAGACAGCGGCACTTCTGGTTATGGGAAGGCGAAAAATGGCACTTGCGAGATTAATACGCGTCGACTTAAATATATGTATGTACGTTTAGCTGGAGTGCGTGTGGTTTGCGCGCGTGTGTGTGTGTGTGTGTGTGTGTGTCGATTTACTTATATTTGTCACGTCGCAAACGAGGGAATATTCCTGAGAAGAGACTCAACGGCAGTTGTAAAAGCGCATACAACTTCACTGCTGGGAAAGATTTAAAATAACATGAAAAACTTGGCGGGGAGTTGTATCTTCGGCGCGTCATTAGTCGCTCCAAGTTTCCGCATTCATTTTAAAAACGACGTACACGCTCGATTTGAACGTGTCACTGTTATTATTTCAATATGAGAATCTATCATCGCGTTGAATTGTTATTAGGTCGTCTCTCCCCCGTCCCGAATACAACATGAAATTTTATTTCGACGAGACCCTCGGCTTCCCCCGAGCTTATCCCTTTTATAGCCTTCGACGACGGTTCATGTCGGCAACAGCCTGGAGGCTTGCCAGAGTTGGTAACAACATGGTATTTATTATATTTCGTTATTACGTTCAACAAGAGCTCGTAAGATCCCACTTGATGTCAACCTTTTTCCTGCTTCTGCAAATGACGTTGAGATGCGCTCGCGCACGTTATCGCTTCTTAATCCAATTAGATATCATTTGGTATCTTTGCCTCATTATCGCAAATGAATTCGTAATGAAACGCACGCTTGCATTTCCTCACAGGAAATCTGCGAAGTATTGGAAAAGTTTCCCTTCGTTAATTTATTGAGACTGAAAGATTCACGAGATCGACGTAACGAGAAGCCGGGAAATAAAAAAAAACTGCAAAATTTCATAATTCCAAATTCGAGCTTTTGCAAATTTATTTCCCCCTTTTATACGCGTTTTCGTGTGTAATTTATGACCATCGGATCCGGTCTTAATTCGCGGGCGATGGATTTGCGGCTTCCTTCGATGAAAACTCGCCGGCATACATAAGTGTGGGCGAAAAGTTTCTCGCGAGAAGGATCTGATTCCAGCGCGCGCGACGTGTTCGAAAATGCCTCGGCTTTACGGCTGACGGTTTACGACTCTTCGTTGCACGTGCATCGCAACTCGTATTTTCCCCGTGCTCTCGCCGCACGTCACCGGGTCCCCTGTTTCGCGTAGCTAGCGCTAATACGTCTCGGGGAAACGTATGATAAGTCAAAAAGAATCCCGGTGATTTTTCGAAAGCGCGGATTCCCCGAATTTCCAAATAATTCTTACTCCGGAGACATAATTCAATCCACGACACACACACACACAATGTATTTTATATAAGATAAAAGAAAACAGACGTTCCCGCGCGATTTGGAGATTGTGGAAATCGGGGAAACCTCTACATTCTTTAAAGATAAAACAGAAAGATCCAACGCCGCTGTCTTTACGAAGTGTATATTCGTCCCGCCTTTTTCCTCGACTTTCTCACCCGAGAGACGGTCTTCTGCGATATGTCGCAACTTTTGTTTATCAATATTAAAACAGGTTAACGTTATACTTGAGAGCGGGATAAAGAAGTTTCATAGCGGCAGCCTATCGATTTCGCCGTGCGCGGTAAAAGCGTCAATTTTTAAGAACGGCATATACCCTCGAGAGGCGTAAGTTCTCGCACACATCATTTTTATACCGAGCGCGAACGGATATTACCTTTCCGCGTTCTGAAATACAGGATAATGTCGCCGCGACGTCCATGCCTGCGAAATAGAGTTTTTACGAGTCCGGCAGGAGCAATAGCCGAGCTATGTCGCAATTATTTGCGAGGCGCGTGAAATATCGATTACGCCGCTGAACGGCTCGGGCAGGACAACGCTCGGGTTTACGCGGCCGTAGAAAAAGCCGCTCTTCGGAATAATTACAGAGTAGTTACTAAATGGCCACGGCAGTCAGAAGCCGGACTTTTAATATCGAGCGAATAACGTTACGCGCGCGCAAACGCATCGCGGGAAATTATCCTCGTTCGCGATGTCGAATAGGAGATTGCAATTTCTGTCTTTTCGTCTGACGCGCACCCGCGCGTTTCATACGTTCGCCCTTACAAAGAGATCCCGTAGCACACGATTCCCCGATTTTCCCAGGGTTCTCTCGCGAAATAAAGCGACCGGGCCGCACTGTTAAAGCCTAAGCGTGTGAAAAAGACGGGTCCCTTAAATATTAATAAATATG